GTCTCCACAATAACACTTGAAAAGATCGAACGAGAGTATCGTGATCATTCACCGATTTGGTGGTACACAGGTCCATATTTTATCTACCTCATGCTTAATCATGGTCTTCGACAAATGGATGTCGATATTATCCTGAAGATGGGTTTCTTCATTCGCCATTTACATAATCATATTGCACAATTACATCAAGAGCAACAAGATGGCAGCATGCCAACGAGATTTCGAGTCTTTCGTGGACAAAGTTTGTCCGTGGAAGACTTTGAAAAAATGAAAAAAACCACAGGAGGACTTATGTCCTTCAACAGCTTCCTATCGACAAGTCGCAGCCGTGAGGTGTCCCTATTTTTTGCACTGTCAGCTACAGACAATCCCACTTTGGTTGGTATTCTCTTCGTTATGAACATTGACACAGCTATTTGTACAAAATCATCCACACCATTTGCCGAAGTAAGCAACGTTAGCTATTATCACGATCGAGAGGAAGAAATACTTTTTTCAACACATACAATTTTTCGTATTGATCGTATTGAAAGAATCGAAGACAAGTACACTGATCGCTTATGGCAAGTTAATCTCACAATCGTAGGTCATCAAGATGGTGACTTTGACAAACTCACGGCAGCGCTGCGAAAAGAGTTCACTTGGATAACAGGATGGGCTCGATTCGGTGATATACTTATTAGTCTGGGAGAGCCTAGAAAAGCAGAATATCTCTATCAGACACTTCTCGAAAAAGCATCTACTGATAAAGAAAGATGGACTTATAATCTTCAACTTGGTCGAGTGTATGATAACATCGGCGAGTACTCAAAAGCACTATTACATTACCAAACAAATCTCGAGATCAAGCTCAAAATTTTCTCTTCGAATCATCCCACCTTGGCAAATTCTTACAACAACATTGGTACCGTATATTATAACATGGGCGAGTACTCGAAGGCACTTTCATATTACGAAAAAGCACTTGATATTGACCAGGAAGCTCTTTCACAAAACCATCCCGACTTTGCTTCCGACCACAACAACATTGGTGCAGTGTATGAGAACATGGGAAAGTATTCGGAAGCACTTGCATGTTACGAACGATCACTTGAAATCCGAAAAATAGCTCTTCCTTCGAACCATCCTGACTTGGCTGCTTCCTACAACAACATCGGTGCGGTGTACTCTTTCATGAGCGACTACTCTAAAGCACTTTCATCGTACGAGCGAGCACTTGAAATCCAAAAAATAGCTCTTCCTCCGAATCATCCCGACTTGGCTAATACCTACAACAACATTGGTAATGTGTATAGAAACATTAGTGAGTACTCGAAAGCACTTTCATGTTACGAACGATCATTGGAAATCCAAAAACTTGCTCTTCCTCCGTCTCATCCGGCCCTCGCTACTTCCTACAACAACATCGGTAATGTTTATTCCAACATGGGCGAGTACTCGAAAGCAGTTTCATCGTACGAAAGATCATTGGAAATCCAAAAACTAGCTCTCCCATCGAATCATCCCGACGTCGCTATTTCCTATAACAATATCGGTAATGTTTATTCCAAAATGGGCGAGTACTGGAAAGCAGTTTCATCGTACGAGCAATCATTGGAAATCCAAAAACTAACTCTCCCATCGAATCATCCCGCCCTCGCTACGTCCTACAACAACATCGCTAATGTGTATTGTGACATGACTGAGTACTCGAAAGCACTTTTACCGTACGAAAGATCACTTGAAATCCAAAAAATCGTTCTATCTCCGAATCATCCCGACCTCGCTATTTCTTACAACAATATCGGTGCGGTTTATTCTAATATGGGTGAGTACTCGAAAGCGCTTTCATATTACGAAAAAGATTTAGAGATCAGCCAAAAAACTCTCCCTGAGAACCATCCTGGTTTAGCTGCCTCCTACGGCAATGTTGGTGCGGTGCACTCTAACATGAACGAGTATTCGAAGGCACTTCTATCGTATGAACGATCACTTAAAATTCAAACAATAGCTCTACCTCCGAATCATCCGAACCTCGCTACTTCTTACGACAATATCGGCGCGGTTTATTCTAATATGGGGGAGTACTCCAAAGCTCTTTCATCGTACGAGCGATCACTTGAAATCCGAAAAATAGCTCTCCCTCCGCACCATACCGACTTGGCTGCTTCCTACAACAACATTGGTGCGGTGTGCTCTGACATGAGCGACTACTCTAAAGCAGTTTCATCGTACGAGCGAGCACTTGAAATCCAAAAACTAGCTCTACGTTCGAATCATCCTGACTTGAGTCGCTCCTACAATAACATCGGTGCGCTATATTCTACCATGAACGAATATTCGAAGGCACTGTCATCATACGAACGAGCACTTGAAATTCAAACAACAGCTCTTCCTCCGAATCATCCTGACTTAACTACTACCTACAACAACATTGGTGTGGTGTATTATAAGATGGAAGAATACTCGAAGGCACTTTCATTGTACGAGCGGGCACTTGAAATCCAAAAACTAGCTCTTCCTCCAAATCATCCTGACTTGGCTCACTCCTACAACAACATCGGTAATGTGTATAAGAACATGGGCGAGAACTTCAAAGCACTTTCATCGTACGAACGAGCACTTGAAATTCAAACAATAGCTCTTCCTCCGAATCATCCCGACTTGGCTCACTCCTACAATAACATCGGTACTGTGCATCAGAATATGGACGAATATCCTAAAGCACTTTCATTTTATGAACGAGCACTTGAAATCCAAACAATAGGTCTTTCTCCGAATCATCCTGACTTGGCTAACTCCTACAACAACATCGGTAATGTGTATAAAAACATGGGCGAGAACTCCAAAGCACTTTCATTTTACGAACGAGCACTTAAAATCCAAACAATAG